GCGGTAGATGGTAAGGTAGAGTTCACAGAGGCGAATATTAGGTATAAGGTGGCTGACATTATTATAAGTGAAGGTCATCTCATGCTAGTGGACAAGGATCTCCACTGAAGGTGATGCCACCGGGTCAAAAAAAAAGTTCTTTGAAGATGCGCATTATGGAATGTTAGCGGGACATTTCGGACCAAGAAGATATGGTGGGAACTGTCTAAGAGTTCCTTCTGGAAAAATATGAGACGTGACATTTGGCGCTGGGCCGAGGAGAGCCGCAAATGCTTGTGCCACGACCCCAAGCGAGTCATGGTGCCTCCTTTAAAGCCGATTGTCACCACTAGCCCTTTGAGGTAGTTGTTATGGATATATTGGAAATGGGTCCTACTACGGAGGGGAATCGGTACATTCTGTCAGTAGTGGACCATTTCTCAAAATTTGGTGGAGCCTATGCAGTCCCTCAGCATCCGTAGTAGCTCGCGTGTTCTTCGAACGATGGTTGGCGGAAGGTGGCCGCCAGCCCAAACGCGTCCTCTCAGAGAGAGAATTCGAGAACAAGCTGAGAGGAGTTACGCAGACTTCTGAGGTTCGAACAGATCTTCACTAAAGAGTACAACCCGAGAGAATGGCATCACTGAAAGGTTTAATCAGACTATCACTGCGATGCTGAAGAAGAAGGTTTGAGTAGCAGTGTAATGGGGAAAGATTCTGCCCGCACGCGTGTTTGCGTACAACACCACCGTGCACGAGGCAACCGGGAATCTCCCTTCTTTTTGTTACACGGGTTCGAAGCACACGTCCCTTGGGATCAGGACGTGGAAGGCCCATGAGTATGCTGTGGATATAGACTGCTGGATATAGACGATCATACGCAAGAGGTAGCTGTAGGCACGCAATAGCACGGGAATATGCCGTGGGGGTAAATGATAGGATGCGAGAACGCATAAAGGCAGCGTATGATTGTGAAAAGGGGGTGAATGACTGTCCCAGTCCTTCAAAAGCAGGCGATAGTGTCTATATGAGGATTCCGGGCGATAAGCAGTCTTCACGAACCCAAAGCTAGTAAATCCCTGAAAGGGTCCTTATCGAGTGTTAGCGACCAGTGAAAAAAGCGCCTTGATCACGCTAATCAATCAGGATAAGGGTGAGGGTACCATTTGACTTACTTAGGAAGCTGCCCCGGGGTACCTCCGACGAACCATTGCTAACTAAAAAGAGTAGGGGTAAACGAGGGCGTCCTAAGAAAAATAAGACACAAGAAGTTCAAAGCAACAAACTCTCTCTTTTCAGGACCCTGCTGGCCTCCGACGACTGCCTGAATCTGAGATTTCGCTGCAGTTTGTGTCTATTTGGTCAAATGGCGCATGTAGCGAT